TTATTCCAATTGACATAACTAATTCCTAATTACAGTAAGGTTCCAATGTGATTAGTATATTGACAATTACTTTTATTTTATTTAAGGAATTATAAGTGAAATCATAATCAAATGAATTTCAAAAAAATTAATTTTTTAAACATCACTAACAAATCAATCTCAATTACAAAATTCAAAAAAATAGAACTTTTAGTATTTCTTTTTTTTTAATTATAACAAAAAAATTTGGAAACATACAAAATTTTCATAGTTGTATAATAGATTATGAACAATAAAAAATTAAGTTTAGTAAATTTGAGATGGTATTTAATTCAACTGCACATATACCTAATATATTTTATTAATTTTTATATATAAAACTATTCACGTGCAACGTACGTCATGCATTGTTAGTATAATAAAATATAAGATCATCTTATTGGTCTATAAAAGAATTAAGAGCCCCAACCAATGTAGAGAGAACATTTTAAGCTATGACGTTTGTGAAAACTTGATTGCGTAACCGAATAGGTGATAAATAGGTAATTAATAATGTGACCTTAGACCAAAATATATATATATATATTTTTTCAATAACATTGATAATTAAGTTATCATGTACTATTTTTTAAAATTTAAAAATGGTCAAAATTAATTATAAATGATTATAATTAACTTTAATTTTTTATTAATAATTGATTTCTTAACTCACTTTTTGCTTATAGAAAATATGTATAACAATTTTTGATCCTTTTATGTAAAGTAAATTTTTTAAGTATTAAATATAATATTGATAATAAATTTATTATCTTAATCTTATCAATGAGGATAAAAAAAAAATTAAGTCCCTATCCTACAAAGATTTTCTGGCTCCGCCCCCAGTGTGGAGTGTATTCATCTTTTGTCGAATGGATCGAATTTTCCATCTACAAGTCATTGTCACGTCTCGATCGTAGCCTAACCTCCCACCTCCACGGCCACCCTCTATGCATCTCTCTTTCCACCACCATCACACAGCACAACGGCACCGCCCACCTGACATAGAAAACACCAAATCAGCAAAGCATCAGCACAATACCGCCCAACAATCGTGACAAGTCGAACCCCCACAAACAACCACACCGACTAGCAATCTCAATTTTGGAGTTCAGAGACACCCAACATCATCGAAATGGGCAGCCACGCCAGGTAGCAACAGCAGGTAGAAATAGAACCAACCCCAATTGAAGGAAGGAAACCCAACCTCGAAACTAGTAATTAATGGGTACGTCTCGGAGACATGGGTTCCGAGAGGTGGTCATGCGTCCTGTGGGCGGTGGAATTGGGGGTTTGATGGTAGCGCGGTGGCTGTGGGTGGGTGCTTGGGGGAGGTGGCTGCCGTGCGTTTGATTTTTTTATCTTTTTACCTTGCAATTCCGAAAATTATTACAATTATAGTTAATTAGTTTAAAACTACACGAGAAATAAGTGGTTGTTCTTAAATCACGTAAACTCTTGCAAATAATTTGTTTCCCTTTTTTTGCCTATACCAACTTCTCATTTTAGATATAATTAATAAATTCAACTTAAAATTGATTTTAAAATAATTAATTTTAATAAGTTTAAGTGACTATAGAATGAATATAACTTACACACATCAACTATCCTAGTAAACATGATACAAACATAATTATAAATAGATCGAATATGAGTTAAATAAATTTTAACACACTAATTTAAATACGATACAAATCCAACCTAATACAACTCATTTACTCACATACTCTTAAGCATTATTTTTTTGTAAAATAATCCAAAAAAGGCCTCAAAACATGGGCCTAACCGTGAAGAATAAAAAAAGAGAAATTTGAAGATCGGTCCTCCTATGTGAACTTGTTTGGAGATAAGTCCGATAAGGAAACTTATTAGAGTCTAAGTTCCTGTTTAAACTTATATGTACGTACTTAAGTCCACTTATTTTTTTAAATCTCAATATTATCCCTAACAGTGTTAGTTTTATCCAATTATAAAAAATCCAATAGGTTAAATCTTTAAAGTATATATAGAAACCTTAGTTTGAGTTATATATGAAAATCATTTTTCATTAAAAATCCTAATAATTAAATAAAGAATATATTAAATGTATATACTCTGCTAGCTATATATAGAAGCCTACTTAACGAATTAATTCAGATCACAAGTTTTTCTTATCAATTCAAATTCTTAATCAATTTTAATATGTTATACTTTTGAATAACAAGTTTTTATGTTTGACAGGAGGTTTGAAGGTGATAGAAATAGTCGCGAGACTCCGTGTTACTAATGATGTTACTGCCAAGATTACTATTTAGTGATCATTACATACAGTAACCAATCGTACAATAATATTACAAATTCACTAGATAATAAATAATTACAACAGATTTTAACATATCAATTCCACATACAACACAATTTTAGCATTCTAAAATTGAATAGTTATATTGGTTGAAACATTTTTTAACACGTTACTGTTTGAGTTACTGTTGCACTTACAAATTGGACAGAATTTCCTTTGTTTTCCAAACATTCCATTACAAACAAATTCTCAAACTTACATCAACATATCGAATTAATATCAAGGTGTAACATCCAAACCATAATTCTACATGCTTGAATACTCCATTTAAACTAAGTATCACTCAATAAACAATTACAACCAACTTCTAATCGAGCTTACAAGTAGCTAAAGAATGAATAGCTTTACAACATCACCAATTTTTATTTTTTTTGTATCTTTTTTTCAATCTTGAACTTGTCTTGTAGTCTTCAACAGTCCATGCATTCCTATGGTTTATGAATGCAGTCATCATATGTATTCGTAGAACGTTAAATTGTGTTGGTTTCAATTTCTTTTCTATTTCCTATGATTGTCATCAACCTGTAATATGACGTTGTAATATCAATATGAATATATAGGACAATTGTAATATCAATATCCTACACAAACATATAGTATCATGATACAAAATAATAACACACAACATATGGTAACATATAGAATAGTAACATACATAATATAGTAACATGATACCAAGCAAGCATAATGGATATAAACCAATTATGAAAAATTTTGTGCAAAAGTAACATTAACAGTTCCACCAAATTACATGATGTAAATATAGTAACATCAGGTTAGTAACATCAAAACACACACAATTCAGTAACATCATTTTTCAATACACAATTCCATTGCAAATTCAATGTGTTCCTTTTTAACATTTAAAATCAAACAACAACTCCTGAACTCTTCATAAACAACATATGGTGCATTAAAAATAAAAATAAAAAAAGGGAGTTGATCAGTAACATGTCGACAGTAACATCAATTTGTCAGTACCATCCACAGTACCCAAAGCACAAGCATACATTGAAAATATGAATTCAATTTTTCAGTTATCACACAGTAACATGAAAAAGTTCAATGTACTCTTGAACCAATGGTTTTCAAATTTCTTGAACAACGAAGAAAACAACAAAAAATTTACACATGTAATTATATAATAGACTTTTAATTCAGTAACTACATTTTTCATTATACAATTGTTTCCATTGGAAATCCATTGAGTCCCCATGATACAATTTTTGGAATGTAAATAACCGTGTTTAAAAGTAACTTGAACATTTTTTTGAGGAAACTTATGATATTTTCCTTTTCGTAACCCACAGATTGTGCATTAAAAGTAAAAATCAAAGGTTGTGATCAGTAACACATGTGCAGTAACATCATTTTCATAGTAACATCCATAGTACTTAAGCACATCAATCCATTGAAAGTAAAAAATTAATTTTTCATGTTAAAATAGAGTAACATGATATATTTCATGTTACTTTGAAACAATGGTTTTTGAATGTCTTGAACAACGCATAAAGCAACAAAAAAATGATCACATGTAGATACATAGCACATTAAATTAGTAACACTAACATGAATAGTTTCATCTCAAAGGCTATATTGTATTCACAGTAATATCAAATTCCAAATGGTTATAGTAAACATACAATTCTAAAATTGAAAATTTTAAAAATTCCCAATTGTAACACACTGTCAATGTTTGAATTAGGACACTCAACACCGATCAATAACATCAAGATATTTAAATTATGAGATAAATTTATTCAACTCCTCACACAGTAACCTCATATATTTCACAGAAATACAACCAACGAATTTCAATTGTCAAACACATCAAAAAGAATGACAAAAAACAAAATACATAACACTTTTATTATAGTAACAATCCATCTTAATTTTAATGTTATTAATGCAAAAAATAAAGAATTCATATGACAGTAAGAACGACACATCAAGCAATAGATTTCCTAAAACCCAAAAATATATATTAACATTCTTCTAAAATCACATACCTTTCAATCTTTTTATGAATCCCAAAAATTGTTGATGATGATTTGAATGCAGAGTCAACAACAATAACTTCTTCAATGGAGTCCAAATTAAATTTTGAAGAGTATATTCAAATTTTGCTCTTATGGTATATAACTTTTTTGAAATTTGAATAGGATTGGTTTGGGTATTGACAGTTACCGGTTTTCAGGAAAGGAATCGATGGAAGATTTAATAAATATTGTCGGATTTCAAAGCTTAAAAGAAGGGAAAGTTTCGATTTACAGTGAGAGAGTTAGAGTGAGAGAGTTAGAGGGTTTTACCGTCTGGGAAAGAGACTGCAAATTAGATGCCGTTTATGTTTTTCTAAAAAATAAGGGTACAATAGTAAACTTGTCAAAAAATAAACTTATAACCAAATAAGTTTTCTTGCCGAACTTATCTCCAAATAAGTTAATCTAAGAAGACTCACCTTCAATTTTCACATAAAGAAAGTTGAACTCTCGTCCTGTGATCCCAAGTGACAGTCAAATTTGGAACAGGCTCCATAGGGTAAGTTTTTTATTGACAAATCCACATTACAAGTATTATTGAATTAAACAACAGCCAAGTCGTAATCAGTAAGAGAGAAAATTTCCTAGGGGAAGAATGTTGAATGATGAATGTTGATGTGGTGGGCCCATTAGGATGATGTGGCTATTGCCATGTCATTTGAGTCATAAAATTTGAGAAAAATTTTGGCCAGCACAGCAATGCTGTGAATTGCACAGATTTAAAAAAATTGGAATTTTATAATCTCTATTAAATTTATGAACTTTATATAAAACTTCCCAAGTTTTACTAAAAAAAGAAATAAAATGAAAGAATTAGTGTCCCCAAATAGAAATAGGAAAACCATGGAGAAAATTGTTTTTTATTTTCTCCCAAAGCTAGACCTAATTTTCGTAATAGGCAAGATCTCGATAAATTTGTTTTGATTTTACAGTCATTACTATTTTGTGGTCCTGTATTAATTGTTCCAATTCATTGAAACTACAACAAATTTATTCTTTGATCAGAGTGATTAAATCTAATCTAAATTGGGGCATCATTCTGTATAAAAATTTTGTTTTTGCTCAAGGGAGATTATTGTTGGAGATCTACCAATATTTTACCTGTTGCCAACGAGATTCCAACAAGAGTATGGGGGCATAAATCTAAATTTATCATATTTTGATTACTTGGTAACTATCAAATGTTAATATTAGCAAACCAACAATATGACAGAAGATTTTTACCTGTTTTAAGATTTCTTAGTGGCATTCAGTGTACTGGCTCACCATGATTCCCACATGCATAAATACCCATCACATACAGATATTTCATAAAAAAATAAGTCATCTTCTCCTCTATTGTGCTTAGTACTCTCCCTCTCTCCAGAGCAATCAACCCTTTTTCAATCAGGAGACCTTGAGGAAAGGAATCAAACAGGTAATCCAAATCCTTGCATACAAAGTGGTGGATATGAGTGGTGTTGTGTCTATGTCTTGCACGACATGCAAGGCTCAAAACTTGGTTTCGTTTCAACTAAAACAACCGAAATGCTTCAATTTCAGTGAGAACCAAAACGAAACTCCCATGTCATAGAATGTTTTGAGATGTTTTCAAAGTATTTTGGTTGCGTTTGGTTTGTCAAATGTTTTAAAAATAGAATGGAAACCGAACAAAATTCTGATCCTTGATGTGATGTTCTTAAAGAAAAAGCTGCATTTGTATGATAAACGTTGAACAAAGTCAACAAACTATCAAGGCCACTAAGGTTTACACTTGATGAATTTTACTTATGGCTCACCTGTTGCAATTTGATGTTCCAGGAAGGAAAGAAAGAACAAAGGTCCACAGCAACGATGAACACTGCCACCACCACCATCACACATATCTCTTTTCTACTAATTGCAGCACTCTTCTTCGTTCCTGTGTCCGAGGCTTCCATTTTCAGCTGGAGAAAACGTCCATTGAAGACAGTTACCCTAACGAATAATCATACAAATTATCTGAGTGTCAGATGCTATAACTTCAACGACGCCCTTAGACTGCAGCATTTAAAACCCAATCAGCAATTTAAGTTCAATTTCCAAGTGAATGGACTTCTTGCCTCAACAGCAATGTACAACTGCTCAACAAATATGGGTGTGTTTGTGTCCTATAGACATGACTATATGTGCGGTAACGACACAATCAACAAGTGTGACTGGAAGTTTGATCTCAAAGGAACCTACCGATACTCACCGACATTAGGCGACTGGGAATTCTTCGATTATAATCCGAACTATGAGTCTTTGTTTAGGGGAGGAGTTGTACAGAACAAGTATACTAACAAGAAATAAAAGTTATTTTAACTGCATTTTAAACCTGGTTGAACTTTCATGCCTTTTTGGCTAGAGGTAAGGTTCGACATCCCCTTCTAGTGTTGTACACTTGTACCTATTTTGTCAATGAATTTGTAAAGGTCCATGCCAAACCTCCCTCCATATGAAGTGATTTTAATAAGAATGAGGATTCAAAAAACATGGAAAAGATATCAACCTTTGCACTAGGGCTGACAATTGGTCGTGTCATGTCAGATTCATCTTGGGAGCAATGTCGTATCACAAGTGGCTCAACCCACATTCAACACATACAAGATTAAAATAAACCATGAGACAATTTTGAAATGAAATTATCAACAACGACTAAAGGAACAATCCCTCCCTTCTAAATTATTTGTGAGAATATGCACCATTTCGAGTATCCATAATCAACTTAGAAGTTGAGCTTCTTAGACAACAATAAGCAACAGAATATCATTACTTCCACGTGACACTAATTAAATCATAGCTCTCATTTTTTATTGTGATGAGAAACCTCGCTAAAGCAAGGACCACATTTGATTCACCTCTACCTGAAATCACCCGCTAACCACATATATCAAGTAGTCACACACGAGAGAAAGGGTGCAACTTGGACAGGCCAACCCGAATCTAACCTGAAAAAAATAGGGCTTGGGTTGAGGTTTTTAATACTTGGGTTGGGTCTAAACTGAAAAACACCAACCTGAATTAAATTCGAGCTTAACCTGAATATATAAATTGGGCTTCACCTGAATATTAAATCAGATCCAACCCGAACATATTTAAAAATAAATATATAAATCAATAGATTCAAGAGCATAACTTACAACTGCGGTTCACAATTCACTTTAATGAATCTAACCAGAATTTTAACCCAAAATCAGCTCGAATTCAACTTGGGCTATACTCGAGATGAGTACCTCAGTTTAAGGTCGGGTTAAAATTAGGGTTAGGGTTAGGGTTAGGGTTAGGGTTAGGGTTGAAGATTATATACCTAGAGTTGGGCTAGTGTTAACCCCTCAACCCGCCCAAGTTGCACCCTACGCAAGAGTAGAAACCAAGACATCCGAATTTTTGGTTCACCCCACTGGGCTACAAGTTTATAGTTCTTAAAGTTGAAGTAGAAATAGTGTGGCAACACACAATACTATCAAAAAAAAAAAAAAGCATATGGCGTTAAAAAGATTGATAAACTAATAATGCAACAACTTGACAACTGATGTACATAACTAGTCTATGGTAACAGGAACTAAGGTATTCCATGTGGGTTGTGACTTAGACTCCCAAGGTGTGGACAATCCTCTATATCTGTGCAATAAACAAGCTTACTAAACTCAAATCTTCCCAGTACTGCATTGAACACAGGTTCCCATAGGACACTACCCTCTCAATTCCCTCACCACAATTAAAAATATTTGCTTTCCCGTGCACTTGTGACAGAAAACAAACACATTCCACTATGAAGTCAATCAATACATGTACAATCTGACATGGACATGATGGCTCCATATATGAAGCCCCCACAAATAATTTCTACCTACTTCCTCCTCCCATAAAAGCTGATACTCCACTTGCAACCACAATGTTTGTTACCACCCCCCCCTCCCCCAAGTCTTTTCACATGGATTTGCAATACAACCGCTTGTTTTCAAGGATGAACACAGAAATATACTCCATAATAAGTCAAATACCATGTATTATCCCCTAAAAATCACCGCTGGTCTGTGTACTTAGTATAATGGCATATCGAAATTATGAATGCCATGACACAGTAAAAGAAATGGCCCCTTAACTGTTATGCTTTATCTGCTTAGTTTGAAAACATGTGGCTTTTTCCTGTTTCACAGAAACAGAATTATCTGTACAAAGCCTTCCTTTCAATATCAATTAAAAAGTGAAAGCACTTGAAGTATAATGTCTTTTTGGCAAAGGGATCAAACTCAGAGACTGATGTAATTCAATGCAACTCCCGAACCAAAACAAGGAAAACTTTGAATGTAACACTTGATCTAAATGACATATCCTTAACGATAGCAAGCCACCCAAAACCTGGAAAAATCAAGAACCTGTTCAAATAATATAACCTATTCATTGATGCATTGTGTTGTGCTACTGCGCAGCCAGGAGTTTCATGCTAGCTCATAGCAACCTATTTGTTGTGCAGACCTGTGCAACATAAAGAGTAAACCCTCAGTAGACAAATTTAAATTGAGGGGAGAGCTCTTTCCCTTACACTTGTTTAATAGCAGAGAACCTTGTGAAGAACAACTAGCAACACACAAAGCCTTGTTTTGAGGGTGTCTTGTTCCTACTGTGATCCCAAATCCTTTACCATCAATTTTTCTTCCCAATAAGCACCATTTTAACTAAAAACGTAAGATAACTTGGCATGTGCAGAACTCACATCTACAAGTCCTCGATATTTTTAGCGAGTTTCACTCTTCTTACTCCTATACGTGATCGTGTGTAAACAATAATGAGTGTACATCTTGACATCTTTAGTCATATTAGTTTCCACTTTCGTAACCTGGTTACATAATAACCAAATCAGTCTCCACCGTATAGCCAATCCTTGCCAATGGACTGACATATCTACATAAAGAGATCAATTTTTCCCACTGTCGAGGTATGTGTATATCGAAAAGAGCCCCGAGAACACAGTAAGACAACTAAATTACAACCTGCTCATCCGCAAGTTAAAAAACATACACCCCCATTGGAGATATAGACTATAGTTATGTCGCCACAACAAGAAAAATATGCTAGATTTCGTATAATCAAAAACTTCTTTATATTTGCATTTCATATATAACTCCGTAAGGTACAAAAGTGCAATCAGACCTTTATATGCGCATTGTGTTGTTTCTCCTCGTTCCAACGCCTAATCTACCCATCGTTCATATTCCTAAATCTGTCTTTTAAAAGACCTGAACAATGAAATTCAAAACATTAATTACTCCATTTATACACAAAATATTTTTAATGTTGATGAAGGCGAATACATACAAATAAGGTTTCAATTTAATTTTCTTAATTTTCGTAAACATTAGTTGCAAAAATTGTTACACAAACAGAATTTAGCTGCCGATTAAGAAGAAAAAAAAATGAAGGAGGGTAAACAAATATGATAAAATAAGTTCAATGAAGCTTGCTAAAGAAGATCACAAATGTGTTTTCTTTTCTTACATTTTCTCGGGAACCAGAGGGGGAAAAAGATAAAGAGAAACCCCACTTACAGAGAGAGGGAGAACACGTGACTGACTGGGCAGCGAAAGGTGCAAAGGTGGAGAGACATTGAAAGGGGGCTTGAATTGGGGGGTAATTACAGGGAGGTTAAAGGGTTTGTTGTGGAGGAATTGATGTGAAGAAGGTGATGGCGAACAGGAGAGAGAGAGTTGGGAGGTTTTAGTGGGCGGGAAAGTGGGCATCTTAGAGGTTCTGGGATTTTTGTAGGGTCGGGTTTCGGTCTATGGGAAAATGTGGGCTTGATAAATTTACATTTGTCGGTCCTTCTTTTCAAATTATTAGACTGACATCCCCGTATACTTTTTTTGTCTATATTTTTCTTCTTTTTTTTTATGCACTATTTAAAAGAGATGACGATGATGTTGGAACTAGCAACTTTAAGGTTCAACACCAAGGTTGATGGTCATTAGTTAAATTACTCTATTGAAATTTTGTATGTCTCATTTATGTTTTAGGTTACGTATCCAATTATTATTGGAATAATAATGCATGTGTTTGAAGAAGAAGAAGACAAAGCAATTTAAATAGGATTCTCATTACATTCCAAAAAGTGTGATTACATCAACTATTTATATACAAAGTTGGTTCAGACCTAAGCTAACCATGATTAGTTATAATTATAGTTAATTGTAATTAACTTATGCTCCGTTTGGTACGATGAAAAAGTGAGAAGATAAAAATTGAAGAATAAAACTCTGTTTTGGAGTTGATGCAACTGCATAAAGAACATTGTTAATGCTAAGCTGAGCTGGAGGAGCCATAGAAAAAAACTATTTGTGTTGTGCTAATAATGTTTTCATATTTAAGTGACAATATATAGTTTAAACGGTATGACATTTTATATCTTATAATATTGTGATATGATGATGACTAAAACCCTCAAATCTTTCATCTCTTAAATTTTTTTTTTTTAACAAATGTAAAATATTTTGTTTTACATTACATGCTTGTTTCTAACCAAATTATCTCACAATTCTTATATTTTTACCTCTTTTTTTTGTATCTATAATTGTCTAGTTGGACAAGGATTAGTTTAACTACTTACCAAAAAAATAAAGATTAGTTGTGCTTTTTTATATTTATAATTTATCTAATCTCACATTTCATTCTCTACAATTTCATATTTAATTTTCTTGTCTAATCTACTGTCATCCCCCAACAATAACAAATAAATTAAACGAGGAGGATGAATAGCGGGGTTATTTATTTTAATAAAATAGGGGTGGGGCCATTGCTATTGACGTAGGTGTCAGAGGGTGGGTCTAATGTCGGCGTGGGGTGGAGGGGCAAATATGAAAGAGGAGTATAACTCTCGTGCATCTCGTCACGCACTATAGTTAATGTCTGAGGTGTTTTTAGTATATGAGTGAACACAACTTGTTAACGAGGTATTTTTTGCCCCACAAACAACTAATATTAATCTAGTGTGTTAAATACGCTATGTTCCTCCCTACCCATGAATATGCCCCATAATTAAATTGACTCCCACACAACTTGGACACCCAAAGAGAGAGCCAAAATAAAATTTCTCAAATGGGTGACGAACTCTCAATTTTTGGTATTTTTTGCTATTTTTTTGTTTTCTACGCATGAAATTATTATGAGGTATTAGATATTTTAAAATTAGTATCAAACACTTTTTCAAAAATAATTCAAATCGTCACCAACAAAAAATGCAAACTATTGGTAACCGTCTAAATATCATGTTGGCAATTTACATTGGACTCGATTGGTAACATTTTTTTTTGTTTGGTAATCATTTAATTTTGTTTTCATTTTTTAAAGAAAAAAAATTACAATGTGTTTAGTAATATTTTTATGTTGTTTTTGCCTTTTTTTTTTTTTTTTAAATGCTTCTAATTCACAATGAGTTTTTGAAAAAAAAAATATTTTTTTATCATTGTCATCATCATTACCACTACCACACACCACCATCGGTGCCACTACCATCTCCCTCCACCACCCCCACCCACCCACCCACCCCACCATCAGTCACCAATATACCAACTTCCCACCGTCATAAAATGTAGTTAAAACAAACAATTATCAAAATAAGTATTTAATTTTTAGATTTAAAAATAAATATCAAACACATTTTTTCGTTTTTCATTTTCTAAAAATGAAAAATATAAACAATTTTCCTTTTTCATTTTTAAAATAAAAAATTATTATGTTACCCATATAGGTTTGACATTTACAAATTTCATGAAGTGTCCACATGTAAAATTTTACATCCTCTAATTATTAAAAATAATATTGGAATCATTTCCTTCATTTCATAATGTTTGCAAATGCAAGCATTGGATACAAATTTGTAAATGACATGTTAGAAAGAAAAATGCACATAACATGTCAACAAAACTAAAGGTTGTTATTTCGGAAATTTTTAGTTCAAATTTTGGAAAAGACATTATGATAAAACTAATTCATGCGATTTTTCGAGAATTATAGTTCTCTCTAATTTCTAAATAATTGTAATATCTTTCAATTTTCTTTTAAATAGTGAAGATTTGTCAAATTAGTAAATTCACTTTGTTTTTTTTTGAATAAGATAAGAAAAAAATATTTACCAGTCAAAAGGGATTGAAATATGTTATAATTATTTAAAAATTTAAGGAGAGTCAAACCTTTATATAGGCATCAAAGCACAACCGACAATCACTAAATTAAATTAATACATAATCGAAACAATTTTAATAAGTTAAAATGAAAAAAATATACAAATGACCCACAAACTTATTTATTTTAAATATGAGGAAAAGTCTTCTCGTTATTATATTAAAAATTAAATTTGACTGAATATGAGGATAAGTCTTCTTCTAATTATATTAAAAAATAAATTTTACTAATAAATTTTCACTTGTTATTTATCATCATTGATTATAAAATGAAGGAAATAAAGTGGAATAATAAGATATCAAGATTAGATGAATTTAGACATGCAAAAAAAAAAAAAAAGACATATAATATTTAGATTGAATAAAAAAAGATATCAGATAAAAAAAAAAGGGAGGAAAGTGTCCAGACAGCTCAAAAGAGGAATGTAGAGAATCTGAGAGAGAGAGAGAGAGAGAGACTAGTGAATGCTAACCCATTAATTATAGAGCAAATTAAGGAGTATTCAATGAATCTCTATGGTCAGACAACTTGGCCAATGAAAACACAACACGTAGACCGATCCTCACGTTTTGATTGGCCCGTCTTAATCCGTCCCTAACAGTTCTTCCACTTTATCAATACAATTGGGCAGTAGTACATCAGTTGTGGGTGGTAGGAGAGAGAAAGCTGTAACTCAGCCCACCTATAAAAAGGATTTCTAGAGAGAGAAAAGGAAAGGAGATATAGAGAGAGAAAGGTACAGTAGAAAGGAAGGACTTCTTGTTGCAGACTGCAGAGAAAAAAAAGAGGATCTTTCTTTCACCCAAAACCCTAGCTTTATACCTTCAGGGTCACTAGTAAGGCCGCCTCTTATCTCTCTCTCTCCTCACTTGAACACAATAATGGGTTTCGTATAGTTAGATCTGCGGTAGCTCATTTTGGAAGATATTACCAGTAATTTTATTTACTCTCATTCCTGTGGTTTGTAGCCAGAAAAAGAAATTGTAGAGAGAGAAACACAGAGGTGGTACTGGTTTATGTATTATTTGGGTTATGTTCTTGTACTTGTTAGTTGTGCTGGGATTTTATAAATTTAGGTCTCATTTACAAGAATTTGTGGTTGACAAGGTAGCTTTGGCTTGTAGTTGTGGTATGTTCCATTATGGGTTTTGACTGTATTTGGTGACAAGGTTTTGGAAATTGAGCAAGATGGTGTGTTTGTATTGGTACATGATCGTGAAGGGCCAACAAGGTAGCTTTGTGTGCTAACTGGTACTTGTGAGTCTTGAAGGTGTAAGAGTAAGGAAGTGAAAGTGTTGGGGCATTGTTGATTGTACTAATTGCGATGCCATTTTTAGCATGTTTGTTGTGATGTTTTATTTCTTGTCGTGAAATTTCAAATCTTTAGGGAACAATTTTGTTGGTTGGAGTTTTATGGGAGTTGTTTGACGAAGTGATAGAACTTGGGTATTCGTGAATGTGAAAAAGGTTGCAAAGAGATTTACAAGGACTGCTGGAATGCTGTTATTTTGGCCTTGGCAAAATTGGAAGCTTGTGTAGAAGTTGGTAGAATTGAAGAGGTTTGCATTCTCGACGGGTGTATCATCAAACGGAAGGGTCAGAGTTTTGGATTTTGGTTTCGGGTGTCATCCTACTCTGTTTTTCTTGGTTTATACTGGATATTTGCGCTGGAGTGGTTGGGGATACCAGGCGTGGGAGCCATGTCATCCTTGAGTCGGGAACTGGTTTTCTTAATCTTGCAGTTCCTGGATGAGGAGAAGTTCAAGGAAACAGTCCATAAGTATGTGGATTTCTCGTTCTATCTTCCAATTTTCAATTTTGTTTTGTTGCCGATGAAATTAAGAGATTGAAAGTGGATCATAATGCTGAATCTTCATTTGTTCACAAATTCACAGCCAAGTAAACAGAGACTAACATTAATTTAAGACTATCAAACTACTTTCCTTAGTTTACTTACTTTCCTAAGTTATCCTAGCAACCAAATAAGTGACATTTTTTTATCAATCAAGGGACACTTGATGGCTTCATTTGTGTGGCTCTTGTTCTTATTTTGGATGTGTATTATATATTTAGGTTGGAACAAGAGTCTAGTTTCTTCTTCAATATGAAATACTTTGAAGATCAAGTTCAAGCAGGTGAATGGGATGAAGTTGAACGATACTTATGTGGGTTCACTAAGGTTGAGGACAACCGCTACTCAATGAAGATTTTCTTTGAAATAAGAAAACAAAAATATCTGGAAGCACTTGATAGGTTAGTCTTATAGTAGAGCTATTTTGGTATCTCTTGATGAGCATCCACGTTTGTAGATGATAATATTATGCCACTCTTTTTTATATCATATGACATTTCTTAGGCATGATCGAGCAAAAGCGGTTGATATTCTTGTGAAGGATCTCAAGGTGTTTGCATCTTTTAATGAAGAACTGTTTAAGGAGATCACCCAGCTACTTACTCTTGACAATTTTAGGTACTAAAGTCAGCAATCACTTACTTATTTCATTTTTTACTTAATTATCTCAAGTTTTCATTTTTTCTGTTAATGCTGCTTTTACCACTTTTTCATGTGTCATTAGGCAGAATGAGCAACTTTCCAAGTACGGGGACACGAAATTAGCACGAAGTATAATGCTAGTTGAACTTAAGAAGCTCATCGAGGCAAATCCATTGTTTCGTGAGAAACTTACATTTCCCACATTCAAAGCGTCCCGATTGCGGACACTGATAAATCAAAGGTTTTAGGCTTTTTGTTTATAAATTTTTTACTTTTTTATATGTCTGAGCCTCTTTTATCCCTTTGAATGCTACTGTTTCTGTTCATTACCTGTTTGCAATTATTTGCTTAGTGATTATTATGGCTGTCTTTGTAAAATTTTATCTTCTTGGGATTTTCAGTCTTAACTGGCAGCATCAACTTTGCAAGAATCCACGGCAAAACCCTGATATCAAGACACTTTTTACTGATCATACTTGTGCTTCTAGTAATGGAACTCGTCCTCCTCCGCCTTCTAATAGTCCTCTTACTGGACCTGTTCCCAAAGCAGGAGCTTTTCCTCCTATTGGAGCCCTTAACGTAATTACAATTTCATTTTTATACCTTCAGATCATAGGTTTATCACCTTCAAAGTCCACTTAAGAAAGACTTGATATGTGCAGCCTTTCCAGCCAGTTGTTTCTCCATCTCCGAGTGCCATTGCAGGGTGGATGTCAAGTACTAACCCTTCCATGCCTCATGCTGCTGTAGCAGCAGGCCCTGTTGGTCTTGTGCAGCCTCCTGGTGCAGGTCAGTTTTCTTATTTTTTAGCGCAGGATTAGCTACTACCCGTGAGATATGCAGTGTATTATATCCGCCTTTTAACTGATATATATTCATCTAATGCCAGCAGCTGCATTCCTTAAGCACCCAAGGACTCCTCCAGGGGCTCCTGGAATGGATTATCAAACGGCTGATTCAGAGCACTTGATGAAACGTATACGCGTTGGCCAATCTGATGAGGTGTGGATTAATAAGGAAAATGCTATTTGGACTTAATTTGGAAACCTAATCTAGGGACCTAATTCAATACAACCATTAGATTGGTTGTGGGCTCTATCTAACATTGGAACTCACAATTAATCTAATGGTTGCATTGAAGGCACATCATTAGGTCCCCAAATTAGGTCCGCAAATAAGGTCCCCATTGCATTGCTTGATTAATAAACATAGCATTGCATCTGTACAACTTACTCTTGTTGGACTTTCTGTCTTGGGTGCTTTATAATTTTTGTACTTTAATATAAATGCATTTGCATATGTTGTGCAGGTTTCTTTTTCTGGTACTACCCATTCGCCCAATATTTATTCACCAGATGACCTTCCGAAAACAGCTGTGCGGAATCTCAACCAGGGATCTAACGTCATGAGCATGGACTTCCACCCACAGCAACAGACTGTTCTTCTAGGTTAATTTCTGAATGACTTCTTGTCATGTAGGTCAAACTTTTGGCGTCGATTTAGTCATTGTATGGTGTAGTCCTTACATAAAATAATGTAAGAAAAAAGATGTTTATGATAATGAACTCAAGGTCTTGATGTCCAAAATCTATTATTGTTTCCTTGTAGTTGGAACAAATGTCGGTGACATCAGTATTTGGGAAGTTGGTTCGCGGGAAAGAATATCCCATAAAACCTTCAAGGTTTGGGATGTCTCAGCTTGTTCAATCCCCTTACAGGTTAGATCCTTTTATGCTCTGTTTTAGGCTTTTAGCTGTAAGCCTGTATGGTGCCTAATTCAAGTCTATGTGTATGTGTCTATTCTTTTTCTTTTTTTGAGATAAACACTTTTAATATGTCAGACAACCTTGGTGAAAGATGCTGCAATATCTGTTAATCGATGCATATGGGGCCCAGATGGAGCCATACTTGGTATGGTTAAAAACTTGTTTTTTCATTACTTCTTGACGTTTCTCCGTTTAAGATGGGGTTCTAGTTCTCTAACTTAAATTTTCTCATTTGTAGGCGTTGCTTTTTCCAAGCACATTGTTCAGATATATACATACAATCCAGCAGGGGAATTGCGACAGCACCTGGAAGTATGCTCTGTTAAAGAATCACATTTTCTCAATAGTTATATTATACCAATGATCAAGTACTTGATGACTCTTCCAATTTTGTAGATTGATGCTCATATTGGTGGTGTTAACGACATCGCCTTTGCTCATCCCAATAAGCAACTGTGTATAGTTACATGTGGTGATGACAAGACAATCAAGGTATTAACCTACTCAGCATAATAATGTTTAAGGTCATGCTATATTGATTTTTCTCATGCATCTTGGTGTAATAGGTGTGGGATGCGGTAGCTGGACGAAGACAGCATATTTTTGAGGGTCACGAAGCTCCTGTATATTCTGTCTGCCCACACTATAAAGAAAATATCCAGGTAAAAGTACATCTGAACAAATTTTGTTGGCTCACATTACAAGTGTCTAAGAAGGTTGAAAGAGCTTAATTCGCCTCTGATCAATTGATGGGATCAATCTGTTTTCTTTCATGCAGTTTATTTTCTCCACTGCCATCAATGGGAAAATTAAAGCGTGGCTTTATGATTGCTTGGGATCGAGAGTAGACTATGATGCTCCTGGACTTTGGTGCACCACAATGGCATATAGTGCTGACGGAACCAGGTGTTGCCCTTAACTGAGTGCTGGATAATGGATTTTTGGCCTTGTTTCTACTTCACATCCTACTTGTTTTAGGGTAAATATTAGAAAAAATGGATTGTCTTCGTCGGTATATGACCATCACCTTTGTCATCGTTGTTGGTGTCAATTGCACATCCGCTGTAAAAGTTTCTTGTCATTGGCGTTTCTGATCATGACAAAACAAATGATATCCCTTGCTTTGCACAGCTAGGGGATAGTTCTCCCTTTTGTGTATTCTCCATTCTTCATGATAGGCAGCTACCTTTTATTTTTTAGTAATCATAATAAGTAAGCATCTCCAGGACATCATATTGGTTGCATGGCTTGCATTGCTTTAGTCATCAGAGACCATGCCAGTCAACAATAACAATAAGGTCTATCTATATTATTGGCAAAGACTGCCCTATAAATAATTTTTCATCAATTCCTCCAAAAGAGGAGAAAGCATCCCGAAACACACTGACATAATTTCATGCCCCTTGACGAAAAGTAAAATGATACTTTATGCTTTGATGCAGTCCATGGTAAGAATTAGATGATAAAAGAATCTTGACACTTCAATTGAAATAGAAAAATTGTAACAGCCGAACCCCTAAGATAATACATTTACTCAATACAGGTAAAGTAACTGAGTTACTTAAGCAAAGCCCTGTAACCTGTACATATATTTAGGTACCCAATATACAAGCACCAGCTAGTAGCAACCAAGATAGAGTTTAAGTTTTAAACATACTTAGATGGGTCACACTTACCTCTAAACTTCATGTTTACAGACCACATAATACTTTACTATTTCAAATATTTAGAAGACTCCAAATACTCAAAAGAAACAAAAGAGATTCCAAGGTTGACTACTAGCTGGTGGACTCCTCTCGTTGCATAGAGTACCTAGAGATATAAACTACTGAGAGTAAGCACAATAAGCTTAGTTAATGTACATGCACAAATAAGAAGTTATATCACTCTTTTACCATAACAATATTTTCTCAAACAAAGTGAAAGTGAAACCTCTATATAAACCATCATTCTTGTGTGTACACCATATATATATAGTCACCACCATTAAGGCCATACTTGCCACAAAGGCTATGTTGTAACCACCACTAAGGCTATTGCATATCCGCCACAAAGACCATATCACAATCGCCACAAAAGCTATATAATGTCCGACACTAAGACTATATATCTGCCACCAAGGCCATATCACATCCGCCACACCACTAAGGCCATATCACATCCGCCACACCACTAAGGCTATAAACATAAGCTCCACTCTATTATAAGCCAACATATCAAACGTTCATACTCCAATAACAGTTAAGCATTCTCAAGTCATTTTCAAATACATGAATAGTACATTCACCTTGGGTTGGATTCTATCTCAAGTTTGATCCCCTGTTGAAGCTTTAGGTGGAATGGTTGATGACGTCGACCCCTCCACACTTAACACATATGTTGTCACAAATGTATTTTAAAATTCCACAAGCAAACACTATATCCCAATTGTTCATATATGATTACCCGCGCATGCTTGAGTTAATGTATAGCTAATCCTTTTCCCAAAATATCGTCTCTTAGTCGTTTAAGCTTTTACTTGCTAGTACTCTATTTTTCTCAAGCTAAATTCAAAGTTAACACATTAATCATGTAGTTGTAAACAATCTAATCCATTTAGGATTGTTTTTAACTCGATAAGATGTTTGTGAAACTCAAAGAATGAAAGGATGAAGAGTTGGAGGATTCACAATAAAAAAACCAGGTATGGAATAATTATTGGTGGGCGTGGAAAAAAATAACTGTTTATGTTTTACCAAGCAGGAAAAAAAACCAGGGAAAAATGGAATGGTTGAGATTATAACTTACGGAAGGAGTTTAAAATTTGTTTAGGAGAAAGGGCTCTTCAATATTGATCCAGGTTCTTTATATGATGCAACTTATAGTCACGAGCATTTCCCAGAGTGTGAACCATAAAAAGCCATGTGTACCGCACTGTCTACAATATAAAAGCAGGGGACCCACTTTAGTGATAACTTTATGTTAGTATAATGGTGGCTTGTGTAGCATAAAAAAGTTAATTTGGGTAGGAGAGAGATTAATAAGAGGACCGCGAGAGAGGTTAGGTGCAAACTTGGTTTTATGACTCTTATCTCGGAAGAGTTTATTAAAGAATAGGGACAATTCACTAAATTCTTTGCTTTTTGGTGAAAAGTCTCCACAAGAACAGATTCTGGGAGTGGAATGTGAGGTTGAGGGAGAAGTATCTGAATATGTTAAGGAACAACCAAGGTTGTCAAAATGTGTATTGGAACGTGTCCCGTTTTTTAAAAATAATGTATTGTGTATCATTATTCATAAGATATGCTCAATTTAAATTTCTATCTATCTGTCTATCTATCTATATATAGACACACACACATGCCTAAAAATATGCTCAAGAAAAGGTCAATCTGTTAAATCTTGAATCATGAGTGGTGATAGGCAACAATGAGCACTAACAGAAGCACAATGATAGTGGGAATGGCAAAGAGCAACTTTCCTTTTCGTAACGCAGTAAAAGGTGAAATTGAATGCAAGATCTAACTTCCTAGTACCAGATGGGCATTTGGGTCATCTCGATAAGCCAATTTTGATGGATTTAATTCTTTGTGGTCACTCCTTTTCAATAATGCTACCTTAAAGGAGATTTGGAAGAAGGCATTTCCAAAAATTGGAGTATAATCATTCTTTTGGGTTAAGGATATTAAAGCACAATTAGCTAATTATCAAGAGTACAATATTCCCTTAATATCATCGTCACGAATATCAGGATCAGCATTATTGGTTATTGTACAGCTTTAAAGGTTGCAAATTTCTCGGCTGTTTTTATCATTGTTGTTGGCTTATATTCTTTGTCTTGTGTTTCTTTCAGACTTTTCTCTTGTGGAACAAGCAAAGAAGGTGAATCCCACCTGGTTGAGTGGAATGAGAGTGAAGGAGCTATTAAGAGGACATACTCTGGTTTTAGGAAGCGGTCTGTAGGTGTTGTGCAATTTGACACGACAAGGAACCGTTTTTTAGCAGCTGGTGATGAATTTCAGATCAAGTTTTGGGATATGGACAATACTAACATACTAACAGTTTCTGAAGCCGAGGGTGGATTGCCTGTTAGCACACATTACCTACTCTATTTGAGACAAAAAATTAACTCGAATGTGAGGGGAAATAATTGATTTTCTTCATTATTTTTTCCGCTTTCAGGCTAGTCCTAGACTGAGGTTTAATAAGGAAGGTTCCTTACTTGCTGTTACCACAAGTGACAATGGAATCAAAATCTTAGCAAATACTGAAGGACAGCGCATGCTTAGAATGCTAGAAAGCAGAACATTTGAGGGGTCTCGAGGTCTTTCTGAAGCAGTCAATATGAAAGTAATTTATGCCTTTTCCTTTCACTATTTCTTGTGCATATCATACTGTCATGCAATAGATTTTTGATTGTCTTCTTTGTGATTTCCTCTGCAGCCTCCAGTTGCTGGTGCATTAGGTTCCATCGCGAATGTTTCTGCCCCTTTAGGTCCGATTGGAGAACGATCTGATAGAATCCAACCCCCATTATCCATTGGCAATCTTGTAAGTTTCTGCTCTCTCTCCTTTCATCATCAAGTTTTAAATCTATCTCTGAAAGCTTATATTGTCTAGTCTAATTGCAGGGTAATGTGGAGAGCAGCAGAATGGCTGATATTAAACCAAGGATATCAGATAATGCTGACAAAATTAAAAGCTGGAAGTTTTCTGATATAGTTGATCCAGCTCAATTCAAGGCTCTGCGGTTGCCTGACCCTTTGACAGCTAACAAGGTATGCTCCGGGAATATACCTGTGGCCTGGTGATGTCGTGTATACACGTATTCAGCTCCATTCTCTTGGAGCAGCATTTGATCTTGTCAGAAAACAATATCTTAGACCTTCTTGGTGATGGGGATCACTAGTTGTTGGGTACCAAAATGTTCAATTCTCCTTGTTGTGTTGGTGTCCGTGGAATGTGACATGAACTGTCATCACCATTATATTTTACAATAGGCCTTTTAGAGAATGAAATATAGGATAAAGTTCTAGGCGGGGTGGACTGGGTGCATACTGAACCTTTGACATAACTTTCACAAAGTAGCTGCCCTTTGATTTGAGCCCAAAACTTTGCAGCCATTATTCCAAGCAAAAATTATATATAGGAAAGTACTTCTTGCTTTTGTTTTGTGGTTAACTTAAACACACTTCATGATTTTCAGGTTATGCGGCTGATTTACACAAATTCTGGGCTAGCATTGCTTGCCCTTGCCTCCAATGCCGTTCACAAGCTCTGGAAATGGCAGCGTAATGAACGCAATCCATCTGGAAAGGTTAGATTCTAAATTACATTGTCTGCTCACTCCTCATGTGTGCATTTTTTAAATCCTTTTGTTTCTGATTTCTGTTGTTTCATTTCCTCTTCCAGTCTACTGCATCTATTGTGCCGCAGTTGTGGCAGCCTACAAGTGGGGCACACATGTCTAATGACTTAAGTGACACTAAACCAACTGAAGAGGCAGCTGCATGCATTGCTTTATCTAAGAATGATTCTTATGTTATGTCTGCCTCGGGTGGGAAGGTGTCCTTGTTCAACATGATGACGTTTAAGGTTTGTTATCCTTTCTACCTCATTCATGAGCATGAAACTCTAACAGTGTGCAAATTTTGCTTATAGAATGTCGATAATGACACAACTTAACTTGTGAAACTCTGGCCAGGTAATGACAACTTTCATGCCCCCACCACCTGCAGCCACCTACTTAGCCTTCCATCCTCAGGATAACAATATTATTGCCATAGGAATGGAGGATTCCACTGTTCAGATATACAATGTTAGGGTGGATGAGGTGATTCTTCTTTTTCTCATGCTAAGAAACTGTGCACTGGACTTCTTGTCATAGTCTTTTGAATGGTCACTGTTTTTTGAAGGACAGCACTGGACAAAGAAAGAGGTCGCTATGTCATTGTGGTTTTACTTTGTGTTGATGCTCTTGTTTTGTTTTAGTGAATGCATGACATGCTCTTTTCTTTGGTATTCTATTTAGTCTTGGTCATTTTTGTCATTCTTGATTTCTTTTCTCCTGATGAAATTTATTCATACGTTTTCTTCCAATTTGCCTTTTGACATCTTTGATAGGTCAAAACTAAGCTCAAGGGTCACCAGAAGCAAATTACAGGGCTTGCATTTTCTCAGACTTTGAATGTACTGGTATCATCTGCAGCTGATGCGCAGGCAAGTGCTGGGAAAAATGGAAATTTTTAGTTGTTTCCTTTTATTAAGCAAAATAAGATCTTCCTTTGAACCAATTTTCCCAGAATTGAGATGAGATAATCTATTTTGAGAGGGGAATAAATGACATCATTCCTTTTTTTTTTTTCCTGGGTACTCTAAATGATTTTTGACTCTAATGTTGTAATGCTTGACGCTTCTTCGGATTGCAGCTGTGTATGTGGAATATTGAGGGATGGGAGAAGAGGAAAGCAAGGCCCATACAAGCTCCGCCTGGTCAGCCGTCTCCCTTAGTTGGAGAGACTAAAGTTCAATTCCATAATGATCAATCGCATCTACTGGTAGCACATGAAAGCCAAATTTCTGTTTACGATAGCCAACTGGAGTGCTTGTACTCTGTAAGTCCTCTGCTTCTTAGTTCTTCTGTTGTAGCCTTGTAGGACTTAACTTGTCAGTTGGGCTCTAAATTGTCAATCTTGGATGTTCAATGTTCTTGGTCTTAGCAACATAACTTGGACTCATTTTTAATTGTTTTCTATTGTTGGGCTTGAATTTCCAGTGTCTAGTAGGTTTCTTGATGTGATTTTTCACTTTTTGAACCTATATAAACATTTGTGCTGCAGTTAATGATCATTTGTGGTTTTCCAGCTTTGGAGTTTAGGAGTCATTATTAAAGAGTTGAAACAAATATGACCATGTTGAACTTGCGGATGCCATGTAATAATAGTGTACTAGCGATAACCCGTGCCTGAAGACACTGTATAATTCAAAAAAACCGAACATTGATTGTGAACACAAAAAAATAAAGTAGCGATGATCAGTTTAAGAACCGACATTCAATTATCTAACTTAATGTCATGACTTTGGTGAACTAAAGTGAGTCGAAATGCTTTCTTTTCATTCATCATAAAAAATACAATTAAAAGAAATGTATGTGCCTCAAGGCATTATATTATGCTAAACAAAAAATATCAATATTTAATAAAATATTTTTCTATGTTCATTTAAAAAATTTGGACAAAATTTTTCCTATAAAAAGAACCGCAAGAAACTATCAATTAGTATTAAACAATTTGTAAAATACTAATTACACAATCGACCCTCTATAAAATCCTAATTAAACAAATAAACTGTAAACTCCCAATGTTATATAAATGGAAGAGAATAAGCCTTGACATCAAAAACTTCTTTTTACTGTATATTATAGATTTCAATCATTGAACAAAGCTTCTCATTGCAAAGTTGCCATTCCAGGGACATTCTTGAGTTCAACCTCTCATTTTGTGAGAGTTCTCAGTAAGACACCTAGATGGATTGGTTAATAGATATGGTACACAGTCCTATATACAATTGATGCACTCTTAATGAAGGCCAACTATAAAGAGATCATAAATTTTATGTAATGTTAAAAAAAAAAAAAACTTTCCATGTCGTCAATTTCACCGGATTCAATCTTGAACCAATTAAAAATAAATCTTGAACCAAAATTTCAGATCACAATAAACATTTACAAATAAAAAACAAAAATCTCAAACCAACCATAAATTGTACCAATTAACGAAAATTTTAGATCAGTAACAAAAATTCTTCAAAAAAGGGAGATGTAGTGGGTTTGGTGTCGCAAAACAAGTGGTGGCATTTTGGGGTTTGCGGGTAGTTTGACGATTGAGTGAGACATATGGGAGAGACAGGGGAAGGAGAGGAGCAAAGAGAGAGATAGAGAGGGCAGCTACATATCTTGTCGGAGCCACTTTGGGCAATGTTGTCATGGGTTGTTGCCGTTGAATGGTGGCGTTGCTGTGGGTGGTTGAGAGAGAAACGAAGAGAGGGTGGAGTGAGTGTGTCTCAGGCATGCATTGAGAGGGCTTGTGATGAGGGGGGAGGGGGGTGGAGGTAGGGTGGGAGGTGGTGTTGCGTGGAAAGGGCAGGGAAAAGGTGGGGCTAGGATGAGGGGTTAGTGTGTGTGTGTGTGTGTGAGAGAGAGAGAGAGAGAGAGAGAGAGAGATGAGAGTTACTTGGGAGGGGTTAGTAGTGACGGCGGTGGTGGTTTTGCTGGTGGTGTTGCTGGGGCGTAAAACAGAGAGAGAGGTAGGGAAAAAAAAAAAAAACAGAAGAAATGGAAGGCATGGCTTGTCTGACAGAAGGGAGTTAAAAAAAAAAAAAAAAGAAGAGATGGAGGAGAGGCTGCTGAGAGTTGATTGATTGGTCTGATTTTGAAAAAATAATTATGAGTGACATGTGATGAATTTAGGAGAAATGAGAAAATTTTTTGTGGCCGTTGGATAAAAAAATTTGAGACCTTACGATGAGCTTGTTGAAGTCGCCCTAATTTATATTATAGATTTCCAAATGTAAACCATGTTGTGGGTTTCTTTGAAGGGTATATTTGATGCATCAGTGCCCAGTATGTTTGCAAAAATAATTAGAAAGACTGTTAATGGTTTCCATGCTTCAGTTATAGATACGTATGTCTACATGAGGGCGCCATTATACTACTATCTCTACTTAAATGCATACAATGATGACACTTTTGGATACTACTATATCCAAATGCTACCAAACCTTTTGGATAGATGTATGGTTAGCTTAGCTGTGGAACCAGATTCATCGCAACATAAGAAATTCCAGTTATCAATTGTTTGACTAGGTAAATCCTTGTCTTGTATGTGTCTCTAATAGTAGTCATTTTATTGATCGACTACAGGGTAAACAATTGCTTATTTACGCTCTTTTTTTGTACTTCTTTTAAATGCTAAATGAAACTAATGGTTTTAGTCACATGGGACTGGTTAAAGTCTATATAGTTGTCAAGTCTTGATTAACCGAATCTCAGAACTCCCATCGTAAAGTTGTGGCAAAAGAGTGGTTAGAACTGTAAGAAGAGGACAACAATACTGATCTCTTCCTCACCAAGACCTTCAGGTTCCACAAAACATGCTTCACTCAAATTACTTGGGGATAGGAAAAACAGAATGTGAAAGCATTCACATGAGTGATATTTTAGGAGTTTCATTTAGAAAAATATTATATTTTCTAGTTGATACCAATATCTCCCTCTCTCTCTCTCTCTCTCTCTCTCTGACACATAAATATATGTGACATTCTATCTCTATATCCTCTTCATTCTTTACCTCCTACCTTATTTTTTGGGTTGGGGGTTGCTCCGCTGTGCTGGGTTGGCTTTCTATAAATTTAATGAAGAAACCCTATTGCAGTGGTCCCCAAGAGAGTCACTTTCTGCTGCCATTTCAAGTGCAATATACTCATGTGATGGTCTACTGGTATTTTCCGGATTCCGTGATGGTGCTATTGGAATTTTTGATGCGGACAGTTTGAGGCTTCGATGTCGGGTTGCTGCCTCTGCTTACATATCTTCCTCTGTTGCCAGGTATGCTAAAGTTTGCATGGCTAACTTTAGATAGCAGTGCATCTAAAATGGTTCATTTTGGGTTTTTAATGTGGTGGGGAAAAGAATAATACATCAAGGCTTACAAAGTATCAAGTTTTAAACAACATGGACTGATTTCACGACTTTCTCTTCTTTTGTTTTGGTTTAACATATTAGTTATACCCTGGAGTCAACCTGCCTAGTTATTGTAATTAAGTCAATGGAATCTCCTTGAACCAGAGGCATAACCGTACAAGAGGTCAAATTAGTTTCAAATACATGATCACTCTTACCCATTTTCTAGTATTTCTACGCATTGAATCTTATCTTAAGAAAAAACAAAGACCTTCAATCTTTTTCAGAACATTGAAAGGAAAATCATATTTGATAATATGCATTATTGAGGTGAAATTTAAAACTCTTTATAATTGTCCAACAATTTTTCAAGGTTTAAGATTGCAAGTCAAGAGCTTTCTGCATTTTGTTTATCTAGGTGCCATGGGTTTTTGGCACTTCAATGGTTAGAGCATGTCATTTGTTTCAAGGACTTGTTGAGACGTTGATCCTATTGAACCACATCTAATGAAGTTCTATAGAATTATCTTGTCTCAAAGACGATAAGGCTATCAAGCTCTCTCTCTGTCTCTCTGTCTTCCAGTTTTTGTTGCGATTCTATTGAACTTGGTCGTTTGATCATTTGACCATCATAATTCCAGTTTCAAATGATGTCTGAATACCAAAGGTTGAAATAACTGATTGACAATAACTTCAATTCTGCAGCAACTGTGGCACTGCCTTTCCTGTGGTGATTGCCGCCCACCCATCTGATCCCAACCAATTTGCTCTCGGGATGAGTGATGGTGCAGTTCATGTGATCGAGCCATCTGACGCGGAGCCAAAGTGGGGTGGTTCAGCTCCTCAAGAAAATGGAACTCTACCTTCGGTTCCCTCGAATTCTGCGCTGAATAGCCAGCCATCCGAAACCCCTTCTAGGTGACACCATAAAGCATGGTTCTTGGTGATGCTATGACCCTCACAACTTCAAAATCATATTGTAAATCTTTATATGCATTTTTTTTTTGTTTTTAAGTTATGAAGGAAAGAATCTGAAGTCACTGTGCAGGGATGGTGGATCATGAATTTGAGGAATGTAGCCATTTTTGCTTTTCGCCACCCATCTATTGTTTGGTTCTTGCTTTCGGTAATATATAATAAATTATAATAAATGTTAAAATTTCATGTTTGCTGATTATTTAAAAGTTAGAGGCCTCTCCGCCTGCCTCACCCCAAAATACACAACTCAAATTAGAATTAATATTTTCGCATGAAAATAGGGTTGATAATTGAACTGATCTTGTTGAGTTTGGTTTTTTAAATGAGCTAAAAAGTTTTTCAAGTCCGGGCCGAGTTCAATACGAGTATAAACTTGAGTCGAGCCCAACTAATTTGATTATTTTGAGCTCAAGTAATTTGGTTATTTTATATATAAACCAGAGAAATTTTACGAGTTCGAGTATAATCTTTTTAGACTTGTTTTTCTAAACAAGTTAAAAAAATTATTTGATTTCGGCTCATTTTTAAAATGAGTTAAACTCGAGTCGAGTCCAGTACGAGTTGAATCCAAGTAGTTTGGCTCAATCATCGCTCTTACACTTGCATATTATAATATTACTGAAAAGAATTAATAATTGATAATTTTTAATATGTCTGTTAGCTCATTCTCAATTGGTTTGTTTGGTTTAATGAACTTGCATTAGAGAGGTTAAATGAGAGATAAGTTTGATAGTGTAATAAATAAAGTCAATATAATTAAAATAACAATAACAAACTTGAGGTGATACAATTATAATTATAATTTATTTATTTTTTTGTCACTATTTTGAAATATTACAAAGGAGGGGCTGATGAGATTGGAACTCGTGACTTAACAGTCCAATGATGAATTACGGTGGTCATTAGGCTAACTATTGATCTTTTAAATTAGAATTTGAATGTTTGATAAATTCAAAGAGTTTTTAAAAAAATAAAAAATTAATTCAGGGAGGCTCACTAGTCTAATAATAATTTATGTTGAATTAGTGCACGGAAAATAATAAATCTATACTGCTAATAAAGAAAGAAGGTAGGATTTGGTGTTCACATTTGTAACACCAGTAACCATTTCTCTTAGCTTTTTATTTTAATTACCTATAACTACCCATAATTTTCACAATTTATATATTCTCACTCTCATATTTTTTTTTTACTTTTTTCTTATCTCTCTTTTTAAAATTGAACACACGAGAAAAGTAACTGTTTGCAGATAGTTTAATAATATTTTACTCGGTTGTTGAAAATAACAATGTAAATTTAATAAATTTTCAAAAAATTCAGATAGATATGTTAATGTAATTACTTATACCTGGTGGACCTTGGGATTGTACACGCGACCCGCCCAAGAAATTACCCGTACCCGTTTTGGGACCTATATATAGGCTCCGAACTCAAAACTCCAAAGCATAATCCATTTTCTAGGGTTTTAGATCTCAACTTTCCCTCTCTCTCTGTGTCGACAACTCTGTCTCCTCCCCAATGGCCACGCTCAGATTCTTACTCTCCAAAACAACGTCCCAAACCCTCTACAAGTCCGTCCAACCTCGTCGTTTCAATGGCTCTCCTATGGTTTCTCAATTTCTCAGAAGTCTTTACTCTCTTATTTCCCAAGAATTCCAATTCCGTTCCTGCAACAAATTCCATTCCTTGCATTCCAGGACCATGTCCACTGCCCTGGATGATGATCCCCAAGATTCTAGTGCATCTGTCGCTGCCGCGTTAAATGTTGATGATCGGGTCCCCGCCACCGTGATCACAGGTTTTCTAGGGTCCGGAAAGGTTGGTTTCTTCTTATGATTTCCAAATTCTCTGTTTGGTTCCTGAGAACATTGCGGAAGAGAAAAAAAATGATTCGTTTTGTTATCGTGTGGACTGAACTGGGTGTTATTTATTTTCTTCCTTTAATGCAAAAACATTAGTTAACTGGGTAGATTGGGTGTCCGGGGTTTTGGTTTCTTTAGTTCGTTTCTTGAATTTTCTTTACAACTAAACTGGGCCTTGTATAAGTTTCAGTGTTAATAAATTTAGTTTTCATAGTTCCTTGTATTTTGATACTTTTGTTGGTGCATTATTAAATTTGGTTTGCTGGGATAATGTTTTTTTGTCTGAAGCAGACAACTTTGTTGAATCATATCCTGACGTCACATCATGGAAAACGGATTGCTGTAATTGAGAATGAGGTATTGGATGTGATCTTTGTTAAAGTTTAGAACTATTTGCTATTTCAGTCCATAAATGCACAAGAGATGTTCAGATAATATGGTACATGTGTACACTACATACATGAATGAATATCTAACCCTTTTTTTGGTTCCTTTAGTGCCTTTGTTTTGGGTCTAGGAGTATGAAATGATGACAATATGAGCAAGTTTATGGACTACAAGTTAAGTATGGAGATGGAGTAATAAATGCCTTTGTTGTCATTGGTACATGTAGTAGTGATTATTATTATAAAGCTTTGTAGTTCACTATGTAAGGTCTGATGTATATTTGATGTAAACAGATATCTCCCAGACATTGGCTTTTTTCCTTTTAACTTATTGGGGTAAATGTGTTTCGTGCATGTAGCAGTTTAACACGTCACTCTTTATTTTGTTGCTGCTGAATAATTGACTGAGTAGGTCCTTTGATAATGTGGTTGAGCTGGCTAAGATGTGTTGCTTCCCCATAAACGCTGAAAAATAGTGAAGAAAAACAAAGAATAGTTAATATCTTCCTCATGCTTCTTTTAAGCTTTTGATGTTGAATTGTTTACTAAGAAAGCTCTTCAGATGATGATGTGAGCCCACTAAGGTACCTGAAGCCTTCTCTACCAGTCAACACTTTGCATGGAACTTCCATGATGTAAGGATGGATACATTGAAGCTATAAAACCAATCTATCTATACAACAAACAAATTAGAAGGGAGAAGCCTTGAAAAGCCTTTACTTCACATTTTCTATTTTTCTAGAGTTTTGATTTTTTTAATTACCATACTAAGATTTCTTTCAATCACATTCTACCATGTGTCTTTTGTAACCACCTCTCAACTTCCCACTAAATAAGCACTATTTTTAAAATTTATTTGCGCAAGTGTTAAGGTGAAAGTGAAAAAAAAAAAAATGACAAAATGACAAAAAAATGCAGGGCGCTAGTATTCCACAAATGGCACTACTGTGAAAATTGGGGGCATTAGACAAGTTTGTACTTTATACAGTTTATTGTACACCAGATACATAAGGAGCACCCAAAAAGCTATGCACACACGATGCTTCCAAAGAGAACTGTAAAAATCCAAAGTAGAAACCCTCGACCCAGGCAAGTAGGCAACACCTTGTTAAACCCAAAAACAAGAAGAGTCAGCAGTGCACAAAACAACTTATTCTGAGGCAGGTCAAGTATGTATGATATTTCTTAAGCATGAGTATAATGTGTAATACTACTTGTCTCGAGGTAACAAGCTGTGTTCCTAATATCCCTTAAAGGTCATTTTGCAGAGAAAGTATCAGCTAAACGACTGCTTTGATTGTTGCTAGGCTGCTAGAGTGCTAAATGAATTGGGAATATGATCTTTTGGGATTACTTGTAAGCAACTGAGTTTCTCTTTATTTTTCATTGCAGTTTGGTGAGGTGGATATTGATGGTTCATTAGTTGCTAGTCATTCGTCATCTAATGAGGAAATTGTAATGGTTAATAATGGTTGTCTATGTTGTACTGTGCGGGGAGATCTAGTCAAAATGCTTTTGGAGTTGGCTAAGAAGAAGCGAGACAGGTTTGATCATATTGTGATAGAGACAACAGGTATGTGGGGTTCCTAGTGGTCTTCTAGGGTATTAGAATGAAGGTCATCCCAGATGTTTTTCAATTTTTGTGGTGTTTATATTTTCTTACAGTGAATTTGCATTGGACACGAGTTGCATGAGCCAATATAAAGAACAATAATTCGTAATGAGTAATTTTCTCCTTAAATGTAAGTGGTGTCCACTTATCAATGATTAGCAATTGTTGGTAAACCTGTTTTTTGTGTACTGGTCTTATCTGTGAAGCACCGACATGTTTGATACGTCTGGGACACGGATATGCTCGGACACGTCCCGGATACGTAAAATTTAGTGTTTGAATTTTTTTTTTAGATAATCGGACACGTCCCGAATACTTCTCCAACTTACCAATTTTTGGTTTTTCACGGCAGCCGGGGTCGATGAAGACTGACAACAATGACAATGAAGAAGCCGATGAGAAAGACAAAACTCGATCCACAAAACACCAAAGGTGTCCATTGACCAGTAGCCATCTCCAGCGATCGGTGGCCATCTTTACATAGAAGAGAGAGGGAGATTACAGAGAAAAGAGAGATGTTGCAGATGTTTTTACTGAGAAAGAGATGTATCGGTGTGTGTTTGAGAGATAGAGGAGTGGGGGGGGGGGGCTTACGGTAGATCTACTTTTTCTTTTTTTGGGAAAGTGATAGATTTTGTTTTTTTTCTTCTAGATTATTGTGTTGCTTAAATCAAGTCATTGCCATGTGGCATGTCATTATTGATTTTCTTAGATTTTTGCCTCATCTCCTTATCAATTTGAAAAGATCAAATGTGGCCCAGATTAAATGAGAACTTAAAACTTATGCATTCCATTGGATGGGCTAACTTAATCATTTCTCTGCTTTATGGGACTTTGTTTGGTCCAATAAAATTAATGGGTGAATTAAAATTAGACTATATTTGGGCTAAATTTATCCATTTACTTGGGCCAAAAATATGTATAAAAATGTGTATTGGGACAAATTTATGAGCTACTAGTCATATAAAAATTAAATATATATATTTATTCAATGTGACCCCAACGTGTCCGTGTCCTACTTTTTTGAGAAATAGCGTATCCGTGTGTCCATATCGTGTTGTATCCGTGTCCCGTGTCCCGTGTCCGTGCTTCTTAGGGTCTTATTAGTCCTAGGAAGTTAGGATGACCAATGACCAAAATGATAATGCTCATCATTGGTTCAAGGTGGCAAATATGCACGATATTAAGTTTGCTATTGATTTTCATTTCTGTTTTCTTTCCCTCATTAGTTTAAGTATAGTATTCTATCTCTCTCCCTTGTTCTCTTTATTTGCATGTTTTCTCTTTTATAAGGGACTTTTTGAAACATTGGATTCTCTCTAGTTTTGGAGGATAGGTATTCTAATTTTGTCGTTTGCTCTCATGGAATAAGTGTTGGCGTGAGTCACATTATTGTAAATTCAAAAGTATAATTGCTCACTACTCCAGCTTCAAGTGTTGAAAATTGAAATGCTTGGGTATGCCAAAATTCTATGTTTAATTCTTTTTGCAGGTCTTGCAAAGCCTGGTCCTGTTATTGAGACATTTTGTACTGATGAACTTGTTTCACGTTATGTGAAACTTGATGGAGTTGTTACGTTGGTTGACTCCAAGCATGCCATGCAGCATTTGAATGAGGTAAAACCAAGGTTTGTTGTGAATGAGGCAGTGGAACAAGTTGCTTATGCAGACCGTATTATAGTGAATAAGGTAACTTTTGATTTCCTTCTTTGAGTAATCAGGACCTTACTTTTCTCCTATTGATGTGTGCTAACCTATGTTCAATTTTTTTTGAAATTCGAGAAGTTTTTGTGCTCCCATTTCTATATGATGTTTTTCATTTACTTTGGCAGATAGATTTGGTGACTGAGGCTGACATTGAGGAATTGACAAAGAGAATTAAGGTACAGTTTCTCCTAGTGCATTAATGGATTGGTCTAATTTGAAGTTGTTTGTTGATGGATTTGGTGGTATACATGATATGGACCTATGGTTTAGAGCTTAAAGCTGACAGCTTATGAGCTTAAAAGCTCTGAAGACAGAGTGTTTCTTTATAGCTTATTGATAAAAGTTGTGAATACCTTATAGGTTAAGCGTACCATAATCTGTAAGCAGGGTGGGGGGATTTTATGTCCCCACTGTATGAGAGTATGCTTGTTGCCAAATTGTTCTTAACCAATAATATTACAAAGCAGGGGGAGGCATTGCAGTCAGTTGCACAACAATAAGCACCTTTTCAACTTAATTTATCAGAAGGATCTGTATGAGAGTATGCATGTTGCCAAATTGTTCTTAACCAATACTATTACCAAGCAGGGGGAGGCATTATAATCAGTTGCACAACAATAAGCACCTTTTCAACTTAATTTATCAGATGGACACACTCTGCGTATGCCTGACAGGTTATAGTTCTGCTACTTAACCGATACTATGGTTCGTACAAGATGTAGCCCATCACTAATGGATTTACTTAATCTCTGCAAAAAGACCCATAGTGTGAGGATAGCGCTTAAACGCAGCCCTGTTAAAAACCTACCTGTTGATAGTGCAAACTTTCTCAAGTTTTCAAACTAAACTAGATTACAATTTGTCCTCCAATTTTGTGAATGCCATCTATCATTCACTGACTGGCAGGATCATGCCAGTGGTTGGCATTTTAAAATTACTTTGGCCTGATGAGGCTTCCAATAACTTCTATGTCTGTTAAAGCACAGGCTGCATGAAATATTGTTGTTTACTGCAAATATATGCGTCAATTTTTTTAAGCTTTTCTTCTATTAGATTTTAAATAGAAAAACTATGTATTTCGTTTACATGAGGTATATGGAAATTGGCATGGTGAGTTGATGTGTTGGGACGAGAGTACAACTTAATTGTCAATTATAACGACTGAACCATTCTTGCCAAGAATGGTGTTAGGAAGAATGTCGTGAGTGGTCAATAGCATCAAACTATCTCTTAGTATTTTTTTCTGTCTTCTTTTTCTTATCCCTTGTTTTCATTTTTCTGTCTTCTTTTTCTTATCCCTTGTTTTCATTTTTCTGTCTTGGGAAAGTATGTTATGCTGCTCTGGCTATATCAATGGTCCATATTATTTTGTTTATGAATAAGGTCTTTGTGGTTTTGTGTTTTCAGTAATAAAGGATTGGGACTTTTTTAACAAGATGTGCACTGTGTTGCTTCATATGTACCATGCGCTGCTTGCAGGGGCGGAGCTACATGGAAAGCTCTGGGGGCAGTTGCCCCCACTGAAATTTGAAGAGTAGTCCATATGCATTGTTATAGATTCCTAACTACAATTAAGTTATTATATTGCCCCCCCTAAGTTCTTGAAAATTTGTATAGGCAGTCTTTTTTATTTTTGGTCAGTTAGAGGTCCATTAACTCCCTTAATGTACAACAACATACATTCTAACTGAGTAAAACATTTGTACAATTTCCTAAATTACATATTGACTAAAGACACTAGAACAATTATTTGAGACACTGTTTTGTTATAAAAATAATTGTGTAGTTGTCCATATTTTTTTTTTTAAAATTTAGTGTCTCAAAACTTCGTAACACACGAATAGACGCAAATGGTAAAATATACTAATCCCAAAGTGTCTAGGCCTTTCCAAAAAAATCAATTTCTTAAAAAGATTAAAAAAATTTTTGAGAAATTTTATCATAAAATTGATCAATTTTAGACGATTCTTGAGATTTGCAATCACAATTGACTTGAAATGTAATATGAAAAAAATTAGCCTTTTGTCATATTTTGTTGATGTTGAATTGATACTGCTTTTTGATTTTTATACAGTAGTTCAGGTTTGATTTTTTATATTAAAACTTAGAAATTTTTCTTATGAAAATAACACTCACTTCGATCCTCATTAATGGAAGTCTGGGAAGATTTTTTTTATCAGTTGGTTAGGTTTTTCACTCATATTTTTGCCCCCTATAAGTTGAAATTCTGGCTCTGCCCCTGGCTGCTTGTTTTGCCTTCATATCTAATGGTGGTTCCTACATCTCATAGCTATATTCACTGATCATTTCACATCATTTGGATCTGTTGGTGTATATCTTCAGCACATTAATGGTATGGCACAAATAAAGCTAGCTAAACATGGAGTTGTTGACATGGATTTTGTTTTGGGAGTGGGAGGCTATGATCTTGACAGGTGATTCTGATTATCTTTATATGCCACTTTCGTTTTTCTTCTTCAGTTAATCTCTTTCATTTCCATATGACCTTTCTTTTCCCTTTCTTTCTGGTGATGCATATCGTGGTTCATGTAATTAAATTTATTGACGTATAAATATGCCTTTCGTTTGCAGAATTGATTCAGAAGTGCACTCAGGTGGTTCCCATTATTCTGCTCATCAACATGAAATGGGGGATGGTAGTGTCTTTTATGATATTTCTTCATTTCTTATACTAATTATTGAAAATATTCTTCGTGACTGCAAATGATTTTCATGCTATGTAAGTAATGATCCAGCAGATGTCTGCTTTTTTATTGTTGCCTACAAATCTTGCAAGTTTTTGTGCAGTACGAAGTTATTATATTTTTGCTCTGTTGCCATACAGCAGTATTGGTTGGCACACTTCACTTGACTATAATACCTGTTACAACTATATTCTCTTTTCTTTTTCCCATTTTCTTCATTTGCCCTATACTGTCAATTGAATTTACCCATCCCTTTGGGTGTTTCTGCAGTGGAATTTATGTTCTCTCTTGATTGCGTATTAATATTTCTCTTTTTTATTAGTCTAGGGTCCATGTTTGTAAAATGAGTGAAAGATGACTTGAATGTCAAGTTAAGGGTAATCCTTATTGTTATTATCTTGCAGTAGTTAAGATTGCCTAGGTGAGCCACAATTATAATGATGATTAATTAAGCTACACAGGACCCTTAGCAATACAGTAGCATTTATGAGTTTTGGAAGGCATTTCAGATTATTTCACGATTTTAATAGAGATACTTAGCAATGAAGTACGCTCGTCTAGAATTGCCTATTGCTTGTAGTACTCTTTTTTTAATTAATCAGAATGGTTTACAACACCTTATCAAAACAAGTTTCATCATCCGGTACTTGCTTTTTGGAGTGATTTGTATCTATTTGTAACATTTTTGTGTAATTCATGCATAACCTTTTCTTCTTTCCCAACAGAAACACCACAAAGGACATCATCATGACCACATACACGATTCGGCTGTCTCCAGTGTTAGTATTGTTTCCGAGGGAACCCTAGATCTTGATGAGGTAATTGCTTTGGTTGAGGTACATTAATGTTGGTTGTGTGGTTTTTTTGTATGGTCAGTTGCTATTCTAACGCACTTTGTTATTGTGATGGGGAGAAGAATTAGAGTCTACCTTTTTTTCTTGTGATTATTTTCTTACAGGGATGTGGGTAGTACCGTTGGTTTGCCTTCATAACATAAACTTCTGATGTCTTGGACTTAGTCTCTGCTGGTTGTGCATGATTCAGGTTGACGATTGGCTTGAAAGACTGATCGAAGATAAAGGGGAGGACCTGTACAGGATGAAGGGGGGTATTGTCTGTGGAAGGTTCTGAGGAGCGTTATGTTTTTCAG